CTGACACTCAAGAAACCTTCGGCAGTCGTCTCTCGTCTGAACTCTGAAGCAACTAAAATCGAAATCAGACAGGCAGACACTCAAGAAACCTTCGGCGATCGTCTCTCGTCTGAACTCTGAGGCAACTAAAATCGAAACCAGACACTCAAGAAACCTTCGGCGGTCGTCTCTCGTCTGAACTCTGATAGTTTAACATTACTAAAAAAAATCGACGTTCCCAACGAACTTCCACTGAATCTACTTAGCTGATTCTAAGGCCCACTACTACGTTCGAAGCCCCAGTCCAAGGAAAAAAGAATTTCTAAATTACTCGGATGGCTAAAACGAGTTATAAAGAAAATGCAGTTAAACAAACAATGTTAAAAAGGAATAAACAATAAAGGAGAAACTCACCGAAGATAAATCAGACTCAATGGCATCAAAGGAGAAAACGTGGTTGAACATAGAATAGCCATCAAAAGGGCGAGAGAGAAGTCGGAAAGTGAAGGCAGCATTATAGATAAGAAAACATGGTAATGCAACAACAACACAGAGAATCGCAAGCGTCATAATCCGGCGGACCATAACGCTGGAATACGGTGACGCTTCAAGGGTGTTTACACCGGCAGAACGGAGCATGGTCATCATCATCATCTCTCCTCTACGAATCGCCACGTTTCTCCCCGCTCTCTTTATGAATAGGATTTTGGATCTGTAGCTTCAGCTTTTCTTCCTTAATTCAATCAGGGCATTAGAGTGGAAAGGAAAGGTGGATGGTGAGGGAAATTTGAAATCCGAAAAGGAGAGGAGAAATTTTCGGTTTGAGAATGAAACCTGACATTTCGCAACGGAACGCCTGCTTATTGGGTTCAAGTTTCTTCTAGTTCTCAGAAAGCTCAGAGAGAGAGTGGCTTGTCGCCCATGACCGTACACACGATTTGGCTTTTTCTGTGTCTTTCAGTGGGACGTGGCAGAAAACAAATTCGCTAGACCCACTTAGATTTTCCCTCATTGAATTCATAGTCCAGCTCCTGTGAATTATTTAGCATCCTTGTTCGGATATGGCCATTTTGTTTATTTTTTGAGGAATTAGGGAAATAATTAATTTCTATTTGGAATATATGGTTGATACAATAATTTTTTGTTTTTTATATTTTTGTGACAAAATTTAATATATTTCTATAATTTTTTCACATTTTTTGGGTCTTCCGAGTATTTTTTGAATTTTCATTTAGTTTGGACCGGGTTGGACCCAATCCAATCCATTTGCATTTCAAATGGACAGGATCCAATCCAGTTTGTATAGATTTGGATTGGATTTGGTCCAGTCCATTTGTAAATGGACCAACATTGGATCGGATTGGACTGGACCAAATCCAGTCCGATTGACACCCCTAGTCATGGGTTCCAGGGAGCCATTTTCCCTCTAGGGTTGAGCTTGGAGCAAGCACAATACTAGTTTGAAGAGCTTCATTTATTCGGTGGTTTCCTTCCTGGTAATGTAAAAACTAAATGGGGACAGTTTTAATGGAAAAGATTGAATAAGTGCTTATTGTTTAAGCACTTAAAAAAACCGGAAATATGAGCTTAAAAAATAAGTTCTTATTTTTTAAAATAAGCACTTATTTCAGGCTTATTTTCCAAACACCAATAACTGCTTAATAATATGGTGTTTGGCACAAATAAGCACTAATTTTAGAGATGACATGTAACAACGACTCATTGAGCATCTATTAAATGATATATTGTGTATGGTCCTTGACTATTCGCTAAAGTTAGTCCACTGAATAATAATAGAGAGAAGAGTAAAGTAGACAAGGGTAAAGTTGGAATTTAAATTGCATTCAATGCTTTAATTGGAATAAGGGTATCTTGGGAACTTTTGCGTTCAATATAGGGGGTGTTCTGTAGCATAAATGAAAAATTGGGTGGTGTGTTTTCATCCACACCACACCTTAATAGGGTAGTTGTTTTGTGGACAAAGATGTGTGGATTGAACCACACCACACCTATATAAGCGTTCTACAAGGTGTGGTGCATTTCAATCTGATGAGGGGTGATTTGCCCCGACCTGATGAATAGGGGACACATGGGTGTGGACTACCAACTGGACGATGATTAGCGGTATGCCCACCTCGGCAAGGCAAGTTACTTCGGAGTCCCATCCACCTCGGAAAGCACCGAACTCCAGGGACCTCGGATGGTTGAGATTGTTACAAGCAATACGCAGTAGGTTCTAGAAAATTGCTAACTATCTCCGAGCTTTCCGAGATCACGACATTGAGCTATAGGCCTTATCCGCATCCTGCTCGAATCAGATGGACACGATAAGCGCTATCAGTTAGCACGTTTCCCCCTATCGGAGTAGAACATACTCCCACTTATCCAACCCAAAGATCTCAGAAAGGCTTCGTGAGGCCTACGACAACTTAACTATATAAGAGCACTTACCCCATAGCAGAAGGTATGTGCGATTATTTGCTCACTAGCACTCTAGCACTCAAGTATTTAGCTCGCATCCATAATATAGTACTGACTTAAGCATCGAAGCAACCTCGCTGGGTTAGCCACCCCAGGTTCTTTGATCCTTTATCTTGCAGCTTGGTCCAGCTCGCCACGCGACTAGGGTCCATGTCATCTTCCAGCTAGGAGCATCCAGATCGTGCACTATCAATTGGCGTTGTCTGTGGGATATCGACGAAAAGACTAGTTTCTCTACCTTCATCCATTCCACACTTTTCAATGGCATCTTCCAACAACACCGTTCAGAGCATTGAGATGAATGTCACTGGGGGCAAGATCACTCGACATTGCTCCCTCAAGGCCTCTCAGTGACTATTGGGTAGTTTACTATTCCCCTAACTGCTTCAGGGATCCCCATTCTATCAATGCCTTAGACGACTCAGCAGATCAATGTCTCGTTGCCCCAGGCGAGCACCACCTTTATGGAGCCTTCGGTGATCCCTCCTGGGGTCGGACATTCTCAGTTCGATGACCTCGTTCAGAGTGTCAGAGCAATGCAACTCTAGATGCAATAGATGCATAAGTTTCAACAAATGTAGCAGTATTACTTCTACCAGCAATACTAGTAGTAGTTTCCACCATTACAACCGAACTAGCCAACAAGTCAGTATCAAGGGCAGACCCAAAACCAGAATCAGCACCGGGCTCATCAAAAGGTCCGTTAATCTCCCCCTCAGGGTGAGAGAACCTCGCAAGTACCGGTCCCTCCCAGGGGTCGAACCCCACCTCAAGGCAGAGTAGATGAACAACACACTCCCCTAGTTTCTCAAAGGGGGAACTCGAAAGACAGGCCCAAGATCAGCCAGCCTGAGGGGAACAGTCAGCAACTTCCGCGGCAGGAGAACAATGATCCCCAACTTGGGGCCCGAGGTGCGGGCTCAAGATGAGACCCTCGGTGCCCTGCGATAGCCAACATCGGCCTCGCGTTGAAGAAGAAGCGGAAAGAAGGACCCCTGGTCCACCTCGCCCCAACATTCGGAGCAAAATAGAAATACTCGACAACACCGAAGCTGGCAGCACAAATGCAAAGCCAACGAAGAAGCAGCAGCGACGATGTCGTAAGACTCACCGTTCCTTGGCTAAACACAACCAGCCGCAGGATCAGAGCAAGGGAAGGGAGGAGGTGAGCTCGGTGGCTACCCTACCAACTCCGGCACTATTGAGCCGATCTTTCCCCTATCACCAGAGTTACTGATAGTGTTCGGAAAAGGCACATATGAGCCCGTACCGAGTTGGAGGGCCCGTACCGAGTAAGACGAGTGTTCGGAAAAGGCACATATGAGCTCGAGAATATGGAAGGGAAACAAGTACCTCGAGCCTGGAACGTCAACAACCTAAGGAGGTATTATCTATGAGCTCGCGACTCCAACATGACCAAATATTTATCAAGTCCACAAGGCCACCGAGTTGGTCAAAAGGACATCGAGCTAGAGAGAGGACTATGAGTCACTCCCAGAGCCTAAGGGCTATGGTGCCGAGCTGACAAAGACCTCGACATGATATAAGTCCTACTTGCCTCTTTGGCATGGGTAGATAAGTCTTAGACGCCTTTTCGGCATGGGCAACTTAAGACCCAATTGCCTCTTCAGCATGGGCAACCTAAGACCTAGTCGCTTTGGCATAGGCAACCAAAGACCCAACCGCTTCGGCATGGTCAAATGGAAAAGTAGCTCATGGACAGACAGGTCGGGCATATACCCTACAGTGCCTCCCCACTTTGGCATACATCGAGATTGGCTTATTCCTATTCGTGCCTCCTTCATCAGTTTGGTACTTCGGAGTAATCCACACTTAGAAAATTTCGAGCAAATGAAGTTTTGTGCACGCGAAATAAATGGCCAAAAGATTTTATTCATTCGAAGGGTTTACCGTAGTGATGGAATAAGGAAATGATACCTACTATGGAGCGAACTGAGTTCAGGTGAAATTGACCTATGGTTAAGAACTGAAGAATTTCCACGATAAATGGGTGGAGCGGGAAGCGCAGCCCGGTTGTCAGTTGCTCCTCAAACACCATGACCTCATTAGGATCGTGACCCCAAGGGTATCCCTCCAAAGGGATACACCAGCCGTGGTCATTAGGGAACTTGTAGTATTCGGCCAGTGTTTGCAGCCTCTTCGTGGTCATCATGGAAGGACCGAAGTAGTCCGGCCCCGACCTCTGAGAACTACGGGAACTCAAGGCTTCTTTCTTGCAGTCTCCCAGTTCCTTTGCTTGGGAATCCACCACGAGTGGGCTGGGCTCAAAACCTCGTGTCGAGGTGCCCACTTCGGCAAGACCAGATTCTACTGCTTGGCCCGAGGAGTCCACCTCGGTCCTACTCAACTTGCCACTAGCATCCAACAGGCTACCAGTGCTAACACTTGACATCACAATAAAAGGGAAACAAGTTGAAACAAAGGAGGCTTACCTAAACCGAAGAAAGGTGGAGATGACTTCGAAGAACGAGAACAAATGACACTGACCTGGAAGTAGACAAGCGAACTCAGAACACGAACGCATAGATCACGGTGAAGAAAATGGGGACCCCATGGCCCCTATTTATAGCCATTTTAGTCGGTTTTTTACGGACAAGATCGATGTAATCCGACAGCTCCCATGAAAACCGGTCGCTCTCCTATCGAGGCAAAAATCAGTTGAGCGCATGTTTTGGAGTCCGCAGGGTTAATAAACCCGCATGACATCCGGGTGTCCATGGTACGCAATTTGGTTTCCTGGTCGAACCAGAGGGAACGCTAAGGACAAACCGCCAGACCGGCTGAAGACAAATCCACCTTAGCCTGACGTAAACTCCTCGCACCGAGTCATGACCCATGCGCGAGGAGTGAGGGGCAATTGATGAGGGGTGATTTGGCCTGACCTGATGAATAGGGGACATGTGGGTGTAGACTACCAATTGGACGATGACTCAGCGGTATGCCCACCTCGGCAAGGCAAGTTACTTCGGAGTCCCAACCACCTCGGATGGTTGAGACTGTTACAAGCAATACGCAACAGGTTCTAGAAAATTGCTAACTGTTTCTGAGCTTTCCAGGATCACGATGTGGAGCTATAGGCCTTATCCACATCCCGCCCGAATCAGATGAACACAATAAGCGCTATCAGCTAGCACGTTATCCTCCTATCGGTAAGGAACGAACTCCCACTTATCTAGCATGAAGATCCCGGAAAGGCTTCGTGAGGTCTATGACAACTTAACTATATAAGAGCACTCACCCCATAGCAGAAGGTACACACGATTATTTGCTCACTAGCACTCTAGCACTCAAGCATTCAACTCGCATCCATAATATAGTATTGACTTAAGCATCGAAGCGACC